AATACCGTTTATTGGTAGAATTGAATGCCTTGTCGGCAATTGTAGCTTGTTGTACAGACCCTTGGATATGAAATTCACCTGGGACCCACTGTCCAATATAGTTCGACATTGACGGGAATTGCCAAATTTATCAGTTGCTAACATAACCGCGGTCGATAGAAACACATGCCCCTTATTGTGATTTATTAGTAACGACACTTGATCTGCATTGGCAACTTCCTTCGCATCACCTTCGCCTTCGTTATCATGTAGAACGGTAGCTGCAGCTGAAGCGTCCCTAGCATTACCTTCAAAGTGTAGTAGCGTATTATGAGGTTTTCTACATTTTTGACAAGAGTACTTAGAACGACACGCATCCGACATGTGGAATGGCGCCAGACAATTAAAACATAAGCGTCTCCCACGCACATGATTAAAGCGATCTGACACGGATAGTTGCTTAAACTTCAAACAAGCATATAGTCTATGTGATCCTTCACACAGGCTACACTTGTCACGATTTGATTCTGATGACGCTGCTAAAGTTATCTTTTTGCTAGTGCCCCCTTGGCTTGCCTTTTTTGATGAGTGGTTGATTTCATTTACCCTACTTGATAATGCTTCCGAGCTTTCAAAGGCGATATTGCGACTTGCCAAAAATGCCATCACGTCCTTATACCTGGGTAACTCTGTAGTTCTTTGTCGTAGCTGCCATTCATGGCTGGATGCTCCGTCCATTCTTTCCACTAAAATAGTTACCAGCCATGCGTCCCAATGTTCAATAGGCATTCTTAATGCCTCTAGTGCTGCCAAGTGTGCAGTGATATGTGATTGTAGTCTTGATAGTTCTTGAGCTGAGGCAGACTGTATTCGAGGACTGTTCATAATCTCCCGAATATGTGTTTGAATTACTAAACTTTTGTTATCGTACCGCTCCTGAAGTTTTTGTATTGCTAATCCATAGTTCGCGTCCGTCATTGGTAGAGGCTTTATCAAGTCCAGTGCTTGTCCACTTAATGTTGAACGAAGGTAGTGAAACTTATGGGCCGGTGAATAGCTGTCTTGGTCGTGCACCATCACCTTAAAACTGTCGAAGAAAGCTTCCCATTCTTGTATATTTCCGTTGAACTTCGGTAAATCGATCGGAGCTAGACGTGCTCGTGGATACGACGCTGATAAATCAAGTGAAGCATCGTCACCCGATGCATTGCGACGTTTGTTCTTATTTATAATTTCTTGAATTTGTGAACGTGCGGCGAAATAATTTTTTTCAAATTCTTCTCTTTCCCTTTCTTCTTCCGAAGGCTCATCAGTGTTGAGCAATTCTATCTCAATTTGGACGTCATCAAA